AAAACTCCTATTTGATCTCCTATTTGATTTAGTATTCAATCATTTTAACTTGTAAAATTATTGTATAAATAAGAGATCACATTTAATACTTTTCTTCCCAAATAAATTGCAGCAACAAGATCAATGACAAGGTACCCACCCAACACTTGTGAGGTTGGTACTTTATTATACCCATTTCATTGGTTGTGGGAGCTTAGAAATAGAGAAATAATTTAAAAAAGTTTTTAATACGATAGCTATTTTTACATCATTTTGTGCCTTTTTCCATCTCAGTTGTAATCCCCATGGGGCTTCCCATCACCAAATCACCCGTGTGCCATCACCATAGTCCAGTGCATTTCTCTACCCCACTGTTTTTGATCCCATTCCCCACTCCACCCCATAAAATGTCTCTGGTATATAACTGTTCATTATTATTGTTATTTTCTCCCTGGTCCTTTATAATCCTGCTATGAGTGAAACCGTCCTGTATTTTTCTTTTTCTTTCTAGCTTATTTCACTAAGCATATGATCCCTTCCAGCTCCATCCATGTTGCTGCAAAAGGCATGTTTTTATTTGTTTGGTTGCTGAGTAATATTCCATTGTGTGTATGTACCACATCTTTTTAATCCAGTCATCCACATTTGGGCATTTGGGTTGTTTCCATGTCTTTCCAATAGAGAAATAATTTACCCACATTAGCTAGTAAACTGAGATGTTAGATTAAAAAGCAGGTAGGTTCGAGTCTAGAGTCCATACAGTAAGCTTAGTGAATGCAAAATAAACATTTAATTCATAATTGCATCTTTAAATATTCGACACCTTCACCACTAAAATGAGTTGGATACAGTTTACATATTCTAATTCAATATTCTGGTTAAAAAGTATAACTACAGTAATTTCTGAAATAAACCCATAAAACTAACCGAAAACAATTCCAGAGAACACAGCTTTGGAAATATTTTGATAGTAGCCTCTCTACAATCTTTCCAGGATCACAACTCTGAAAGATAATAGTTGAGTTGAAAAACGTGTAATTAGGCTAATATCCCCTTTTCTCTACTGCACTAAAAAATCTATCCTTTTTCGGTCCTCCCTGGTGGCGCAGCGGGTTAAAGCACTGCACTGAGAAGCTAAAGCCACTTCCACATGAGTTCGATTCCTGCCTACCCAAAATCTATCCTTTTTCGGTCCTCCCTGGTGGCGCAGCGGGTTAAAGCACTGCACTGAGAAGCTAAAGCCACTTCCACATGAGTTCGATTCCTGC